TAAGTGCCCTTTAATGCTGCTTTATTGGGATTTCAGAAAAGAGCACAGCCTAATGCAGCCCTCAATCCACCATCCTTTACTAAAAGTCAATCTGTTCTTTAGTCTCATTCCCATACACTAGTTTGAAAGTTATACAGTCTTTGTATTCTTTTAATGGGTTATCCTTAACATTTTAATATTCCTGCTTGACCTCACAAAGTCTAAAAGGTAATCAATATCCCCATCTTCTTACTGAATAATGCAAAGACTGCAGAATGCTTTAACTTTGATCTTCGCTTTCCCATTTTCCATGCTACTTGGGTCTAACAGTTTAGGTCCCCCTTGTTTATAACACTTCCTCCAAAATAGCCCCTTCATCGATAAATATTTATTGAGGCCCCCTACCACATGACAAGCGGTTTTCCAGGTACTGGAAACACAGCAGCAAATGAGACTGAGCTACATTTAAAGGTATTTTATGTTAAGTTGAACTATATGAGCTTGCGAGCTTTGACCAATTTTTAGTGGCAAAGAACTAATTTTATATGGTTTAAGTATATGTATGTTTAAATATATTCACGTTTATATAAATTCATATAAAATGATGAATGCACTTTCAATTTCCCTAAATGTTAATAATTTCCTTCCTCCTTCCTGTGTCTATTTGTACCCCATGACTCTCTTAGTTTTGTTTGTTTTTCAGGGAGGATCTGTGAATGATAATTGCTCTAGGTTCTCCTTTGAAATTCACTTGTTACACTTGAACACGAGTTTACCTGAGTATATTTCTTGGCTGGCCATTAAGTTACTTCCAGGTTTTTTTGAAGATATGTTGCTGCTAAATCAGCTGTCCATTTAATCATTTTGATTTGTAGATAACCAGTCCTTTCTCTTGGGTTGATTTTAAGATACTCTGTCTTTGATGTTCTTCACATTCATGATAATGTGTCTTGATTTGGATTTTGTTTTCGTTTATCCTACACATGACTCAGGGATGGTTCCTGCAACTGAGAATTTAGGTCCCACCTTTGAAATTTCTCAGCTGTCTTCTTGGGAATATTGCCTCCTCCAAAGTCTCTCTTTGTACATTTCTCTTTGTAGAAATCCAAGTAGGCGTATGTTGGGCCTTCCCATTCCGCACTCCATGTCTCTTAACTTCCATTTCATATCTTCTTTCTCTTTATCATTCTTTCTGGGTGATTTTCTCAGACTGCCCATCTAGTTTACTAATTCTTTCTCCAACTGTAGACAAATGGTTATTTTTTTTTCATTTTAATGACTATATTTCCTACTTCAAGGTGGCCTATTTAATTACTTTTCTTCTTGACCAAAAATGGAACTAGACTATCTTTCAAGACAAAATAATGATTACGCGGGTCATTACTAAACACGATTGGCTATTTCAGTACCATGTTAAATACCCAGCCCCCACTTTTTAGTGCACTTGAGGTGTATCTGTTGTCACTGTTGTTCAAGTGGACTTCCCTTTAGGCCTGGTGAGAGACGTATAAACAATGTACAATGGGTCCATAATGAGCGGTTATTCTGTCTATTATTCTGTCTATGTTTCTGTCTATGTTTCTGGTATGTTCTGGGACAGACCCTGGGATGCTGCTGCATTGAGAAAGACTGCTCCGCCTTCGTTTACACCTGAGTTATTGGCAGCTAAGACAGAAGGAGGACAATCTGCAACAAGTCTGACTTACCACAGATGGTCCCCGACTTATCACAGATGGTCTCCAACTTAAAAGTTTCAACTTACCAATTCTCAACTCTAGGATGGTGCAAAAGAGATCTTGCAATCAGTAAAAACCAAACTTCAAATTCTGAATTTGGATCTTCTCTCAGGCTAGAGATTCACAGTACGATCCCCTCTCTCGATGCTGGGCAGGGGCAGTGAGCAGTGACTCCCAGTCTTCCCCGCCATCATGAGGGTCAACCTCGGATACACTGCACCCGTTCTGCACCCATGCGACCTTCTGTTTTATCACTTTCAGCACACTATTCAGTCATTCAGTATTGTTAGGTTAGGAATAGTAAATATATTTTCTTCTCTTTTTCTTTGAGATTTTATTTTTAAGTAATCTCTACCCTCAAAGGAAGGTCTTGAACTCAATGCTGAGATCAAGAGTTGCCCACCCCACTAACTGAGCCAGCAAAGCTCGATATTTCCAATTTGGGATGTATTGGGTGTATTGGGATGGAACTGTATCATTAGTTGAGAGAATTCTGTATTTAGAATGAGGAGTCACTAATATTCGCTTAAAGAACAGGTCACAAGACAAAGACTGCCTAAGAAATCATCTCATTTGGTGCATGTTGAGATTTTATTTGAAATCTATATATTTGTGTATTTCAGGTGTTTATGGCAGAACTGCTCCTACTGAACATTAAAGAACATACCTTTTAATCTTTACAAATACATTTTAGAATTATTTTTATTCTATATCCAGATTATGTTGGCAATTCCTGGATTAAAAAAAAAATCTAAATGGGGAACTCTCTTCTAAAAACTCAGCTGAGAATATCAGATATTAGACAACAAAGAAAGATGAAGAAAAAGGAAAGGCAAGCAGGTTCCTGTGGAAATAATCTGGCTCAAAATACTTCATATCTGGCCCTTCACACTGTTGTGCAACTAGCACTGCTGACCACCTCCAGAACTTTTGCATGTTCACAAACAGAAGCTCTGTACCATTTTTTGAAAAGGTTTATTTATTTTATTTTATTTACTTATTTTTAAAGATTTTATTTATTTATTTGACACAGAGAGACCACAAATAGGCAGAGGGGCAGGCAGAGAGAGGAAGCAGGCTCCCTGCTGAGTAGAGAGCCCAATGCAGAACTCGATCCCAGCACCCTGGGATCATGACCCAAGCCGAAAACAGAGGCTTTAACCCACTGAGCCACCCAGGCGCCCCTATTTTTATTTATTTTAGAGAGAGAGAGAGAGAACACAAGCAAGAGGGGCAGAGGGAGATTGAATCTCAAGCGGACTCCTAGCTGAGCCCAACACGGGGCTTCATTTCATGACCATGACACGGGGAAACCCAACTGCCTGTGTGCTCAGGCCACCCACCGCTCCCACCCCGCTCCCCCAGCCCCCCACCCCCCACCTCCCCCCCCACCCCCCACCTCCCCCCCCCCCCCCCCCCCCCCCCACCCTCCCCTCCCCAGGTCATTAAACAATGTATCTCTTCCTCCTGCCTCTCCCAGTCCCTGGTAACCTCTAATCTACTTTCCGCCTTTGCCTTTGCCCATTTTGAGTACTTCGTTTGAGTGGACTCCTGCAAGATTTGTTCTTTATACTGTCTGGCTTACTTCACGTAGCAAAATGTCATCAAGACCCATCCATGTTATGAGTCAGAATTTCCTTCCCTTTTAAGGCTAAATAATATTCCATTGTGTACACAGCCCACATTTTGTTTATCTACTCATCTGTCAATGGACACTTGAGGCTGTCCCCCCCCCCCCCCTTTTTTTAAGGTTTTATTTATTTATTTGACAGACAGAGATCACAAGTAGGCAGAGAGGCAGGCAGAGAGAGAAGGGGAAGCAGGCTCCCCACTGAACAGAGAGCCCAATGTGGGGCTTGATCCCAGGACCCTGGGATCATGACCTGAGCTGAAGGCAGAGGCTTTAACCCACTGAGCCACCCAGGCGCCACTGTTTTCCCCCTTTTGACTCTTGTGAAGAGTGCTGCTATGAACACAGGGGTACAGCTATATGTTCCAATTTCTGCTTTCAGTTCCTTTGGGTATCGACCTGGAAGTGAAATCGCTGGATTGTATGGCGATTCTAACTAATCCTAACTAATTCAAACCAAACCTGCAAAAAAGAAGAGAGAGAGAGAGAATGTAAGTTCCCCAAGGGATAAGCTATTTTGGACGGAGGGAGAAGCATGGAGGGAGGCTCAGGGTCTTGAAAGAGAGGGCATGCTCAGGGAATGCCAAAGGTGTGGTGTGGGAGGAGATGAGACCGAAGTGGGCTGGGACAAGCCATGGCAGAGCCAGGCAGAGGATGCCCGGAGTAGGCAGGACTTTGGCAGAGACACCTGCCTGAGGCTATGCACAAGATCAAGGTGAGAGGCAGGCGCTGCTGTGATGTGACTGGTAGTGGAAATGGAAGACGGGGGACCCATTCAAGATACATTCAGAAGCAACATTCAGGAGTTCCTGAAAGTGTGTTTAAATATATGGAGTAGGCGTGTCATCAAAGGTCTGGGCTCTTGGGCTTTCCTCCTCAGAGGCCCTGGGATGCAGTTCAGCCTTTCCTGTGGGAAGAAGCCTCCTCTTGCTCCAATTCTTTGGGCCCAGAGTCCCTGGCTCTGATGCCTCTCATGTCCTTCACCCTCTCACATCTGACTTCCCTGCATCCCAGGATTATTTCATAAAGTGAAAGATGGGAGCACTCTTAACTCTATAAATACTGGCTCTTCCCAGGCCACGGGAGGGCGTGTAGTGAGGCTGTCCAGAGCCGCTGGGGTTCAGGCTGGCCTCTGGCCATTGGCCCCATCTGGCTGGGGCACCATGCCCTACTCTGGGCAGCTGAGTAAGAGCAGGGCCCTCCGAGGACAGTCTTTCCTCTGTTGGTGGGCCGGCCAGTGGGTCAGTGGGAAGGGTGAAGGTCATGGGGCTTGGGGGGGTGGATCTGGGTGAGGAGTTCAGCCTCACTCCTTGATAATCTTTCCAGGTGACACCTTTCTGCTAGAGCAGCCCCCTGATACCAGGGCACTCATTAACCCTCTGGGTGCCAGGGAAGGGCGGGAGGTGAGCCCTAGGAGGCAGCTGAGGTCAGCCGTCTTTGAACCTCCACGTGGTATTTACTCAGGGCAATTGTTGCCAGAGGCCCAGGCCCCTGGAGTATAAAGCCGAATGTCTGCTCTCTGTGCCCAGAACCGAGCAGGTGAGCGGTGCTGGGTGGAGGGACGCAGGTCAGAGTCTGCAGGGAGGGGATTGCCGGGGGTCTCGGCAGGGAGCTGGGGGTGGCAACTGAGAACAAAGGACATCCTCTTGGAGCACTGGGGCAAAGTTGTTTCTTCCCCCTTGGGATCCCACTCCCAGCTGTGGAGTGGGAGGCAGGGAGACAGGTGAGCAAGGCAGTGACAGCATAAGTGACCGAAGGAGCTGCTCCTGGGGTCTTGGGATGGTGGTTGGGGAAATGCTACGAAGCAGTTTGAGCTCCACACTCCATGTTGTATGATCCTGGTGAAAAAGACCCCTCTCTCTCCCCGAGACACCCTTTCCCTCCCAGCCTCACTTAGATCAGTCCTCGTTAGCCCCAGCAGCTCTGTACTCCCCACATCTCAGGGAAAGATTGACAGATTTGGGGCAAGTTGGCCCTGGAGCAGGGCCCTCTGGGGCAAAGCCAGGAGATGTCCTTCCTTTGTTTCTTCACCGTAACCCTAACCAGCCTTGTTTCACCTTCTTTCTGAGTAGACAACAGCAAGCATGGTTGCGGTTCTGACCTGGGCTCTGGCTCTGCTCTCAGGTGAGTCTCCAACCCTGACTTCGACATGGAGATGTGGGTGGAGGCTGGACTGAGGGGCCCTGTCCATCCCTGGGGGGGGGGGGTGGATCCCAGCCTCTAACCACCCCATCCCTCTCCAGTGTTTGCACCTGTCCAGACACAGAAAGGCTTTTGGGACTACCTCAGCCAGAGCAGCAGGGACAAAGGCAAGACCACACGGGTCCAGCAGCAGAAGCTGGCATGGGAACCCACGTGAGTGGCTAGGACAAGGGGTGTGGGTGCGGGAAGGAGACAGCTTAGCAGTGGGATGGTGTGCTGCCTCTGATTCCTCAACCTCCTTAGTCCTCATTGGCACAGAGGAATGGAGTTGCGCTACTTCTGCCTCCTCCTAGCCTTCCTGGGCAGTGCAGCCCCCTCTGCCCTCAGCATCACCCCCACCTCTGCCCTGATCTCACCATAGCCGCTGCCCCCTGCACACTGAGATGTGGGACCTGGGAGATGGGGAGGGACCCCCCCCACCACCGCAGCCCCCAGAATGAAAGGAGGGTGTGAGTGTCCAGATGCATCTGTGTTTCCTTGGGCAGCATTGGTCTGGATTTGCACGTGTCATAAGTTTATACTTCTGTGTAAGGAGTCGTGTGGTTGGCCCGCAGCTAGGACTGGAGCCCAGCCTCTGGGGCCACTGCACTGCATCCTTGGTCTCCCCAGGTGATCAGTGAGGGATCTCTCTGGGGCAAAGGTGGGGCTAGCAATATGACAGTCTGGATGTCTGTCCCCCTCCTCAGGAGCCTGAAAGACAGCCTTGAGCAAGACCTCAGCAATTTGGACAAGTTTCTGGACAAGCTGGGGCCTCTCAGCGGGCAGGCGAGGGAGCCTCCCGGGCTCCCGCACGACCCTGTGGGCATGCGGCAGCAGCTGCAGGAGGAGCTGGCGGAGGTGAGGGCGCGCCTGGAGCCCTACATGGCCGAGGCGCACCAGCAAGTGGGCTGGAATCTGGAGGGCTTGCGGCAGCAGCTGAAGCCCTACACCGTGGAGCTGATGGAGCAGGTGGCGCTGCGCGTCCAGGAGCTGCAGGAGCAGTTGCGCGTGGTCGGAGAGGGCACCAAGGCTCAGCTGCTGGGCGGCATGGAGGAGGCGCGGGGCCTGCTGCAGGAGTTGCAGAACCGCGTGGTGCATCACACCGGCCGCGTCAAGGAGATCTTCCACCCCTATGCCCAGCGCCTGGTGACCGGCATCGGGCGCCACGTCCAGGAGCTGCATCGCAGCGTGGCTCCGCACGCCGTCGCCAGCCCCGCGCGCCTCAGCCGCTGCGTGCAGACGCTCTCGCGCAAGCTCACGGTCAAGGCGGAGGCTCTGCACGCGCGCATCCAGCAGAACTTAGACCAGCTGCGGGAAGAGCTCAGCGCTTTTGCCCGAGCTAGCGGTGACGGTGCGGAGGAAGGGGCCAACCCCGACCCTCAGATGCTGTCCCAGGAGGTGCGCCAGCGACTCCAGGCTTTCCGCCACAACACCTTCCTGCAGATCGCCGACTTCACCCGTGCCATTGACCAGGAGACCGAGGAGGTCCAGCTGCAGCTGGCACCGCCCCCACCAGGTCACAGTGCCTTCGCCCCAGAGTTTCTTCAAGCTGAGAGCAGCGAGGCCCGGAGCAAGCTGCAGGCCCGTCTGGAAGACCTGTGGGAAGACATCAACTATAGCCTTCATGACCGTGGTCTTAGTCATCTAGAAGAGCCTTGAGGGTCTACTGATCCAGACTCATTTCCCGGCTCCTTGTCTAAGCCCAGGATCTGAGCCCCTAGCGTGGCTCAGTCCTTGACCGTGGCCTGTTGGGCAGAGGGTGGAGGGCCCTGCACAGGATAGGCGAGGTCACCCAAGGGGACTGTTGTCCCTGGCAATCCAGCCTCCTGCGATTCCCCCATCCAGATGCATTACACTCACCAGGCTTTGCAAACCCAGCTTCCCGTGTTCATTTGGGAATCCTCATGAGTTACTCCATTCCAGGATGGTGGGAGTGGGAGGGAGAGAGGCACTCTGTGCGCAGGTAATTATGAGCAATGCAAGCCTGTTGCCATGGTGCTGGAAGCCTGGGCCTCTTCTTCCTGGGGCTTGACTCTGATCCCTTCTGGCCCCCTGGTGGCCACTGCTGCCGCTGGTCTAGGGGAGAGGAGCTCTTTTCTCCCCAGGGCTGCCATGACAGCTTCTTTTGGAGGAAGAGAAAGGAGAAAGGAGGAAAATATGATGAGAGGGTGTGAAGATGTGCACATGTTATCTCTGCTGGCTCTGATGCCGGTGGGTACAAATGGTGGGGGTTGCGATGGGAGGGAGCAGAGCCTGAATTTTCCTTCCATAACTCTACATCTAAACAGCTGACCAAGCCCTCCATACTGTGGGGGCTTCTTAAAGCCTCGGGGAAGCATACTGTGTGTCCTCTCCATCTGGGGCCCCTCACTTCTGATTTCCAGGCTGAAGCCTAGACTTCTGATTCATGAAATAGAGGCATATGGTGGAAGCTTACTTGCCTGGTGTGACTCTTATTTGAGCCATGTCTGAAAGCGGTGACCTCAACACTATTCCCCAAAGCACACCCACCACTCATTCCAACCCTCAACGCTCTGTCTCAGGGACTCTCTCCCAGACCAGGTCTGCCAGAGGGTCCTGACTCTGGTCAGACTCTGCCTTAGATGACAGCTGTCCGCCATGCCTGAGTGTGGGCCTGGCTTAGAAACCCTTCCTCTGCACCTGCATTGCTCACCCACCTTCCCATAGGACAGTGTGTATGAAGTGCAGGCTCTTGAGGTGGCCTGTCTCCTTTGTTCCTGTGGTTCCATATTTTGAATGGCCCTCTCATGACTGACCCTCTTCTTGAGAACTCCAAATCTTAAACTCCCCAATTCTCCATGTACAAACTCACTTGGGGACAACAAAGGTCCTCATAGATCCCCCTGGAACTGTGAAATCGGGGATGGGTGAAGTGGAGTGGAAGAGGAAAGGATAAATGCACCCTGTCCAGCGCCTTTGGAAGGTCCTGTCCAGCACCCTTTCCTCTGCTCACAGCCTGCCCTGCACAGGGTTCTCAGCACCCCATATGAATCTGGCCTGATTGTGCCCGCAGGCTGGACCTCTTCCCTGACACCCTGGATTTAGCACCAGAACTGGGTGAGAGGTGCCCAAGGAAAGGAGATACCGGAAAGGAAAGTTTAACCACAAAAAGAGGTGTTTTTCTTGTTGTTAGGAAACTGAGGGGTGAGTCAGCTGGGATTTGATGTGCTGGGGATGTTGGGGTGGGAGTAAAAATGAGGACTGCGTATTTGAAGCTGGAATTTGGACACGTGTTTAGGAGGGCAGAAATGAGTGAGAACAGAAAAGGAAAGAATGCTTGAGGGACTGAGGGAGGGGAATCAAAAGCCTGAAGCAACGTCTGGCCCAACAGAGGATGGGAGCCTGAGCCAGGTGCGGAGCCCACCTCCTCAGGGATACCGAGGGACAAGCCAAGCCCCTTGCCATCGTCTCCTGTAGTCAGATTTATGGACCAATGGTTAGAACCCTGGAGAATGGAGCTATTGCGAAGGAGCGAAACAGTGCCCTGGGTCTGAGAGGACGTCCTGGGGGAAGTAACGCCTGAACTGGGGTCGAGGCAAAGCGTGAATCAGGCTCGCTTTGTAAGTGTGGATCACAGAATCCCAGCAATGCAGAAACTTTGTCCATCACAGTCCCCAGGGTCCAGAGTCTGCGACCTCTTTAAGAAAGGGCGGGGCGGCAGCTCACGGAAGCGTCGGAGGAAGGGGTGGGGCCCGAGGGGAGCGGAAGCCGGAAGTGGAGGCCTGCTCTGCGCGTGTTGGCCATGGCGGTCAGCGGGGCTGTGGAGCCCGGGCCACCGGCGGCTACTGCCGCTCCCTCGCCCGCCCCGGCCCGGGCTCCAGCCCCCGAGCACTTGTTCCGGCCTATCAGCGCTGAGGACGAGGAGCAGCAGCCCACCGAGATCGAGTCGCTGTGTATGAACTGTTACCGCAATGTAAGGCGGGGACTCGGCGCGGGGCGGCGGGAGGTTGGGCTGAAGCGGGGAGGGGTTGGTGGGGTTGGCGGGGTTGGCGGCCCGGCCAGGTGGGCCCAGCTGGGGACCCGGAGGCGAGGCACGCCCCGGAGTCGGTAGACGGGGAACTGGGGCTTCACTGGTTCTTCCTAGCTGCTTTTCTGCCTTCCCAGGGCACGACGCGCCTCCTGCTCACCAAGATCCCTTTCTTCAGAGAAATAATCGTGAGCTCCTTTTCCTGCGAGCACTGTGGCTGGAACAACACCGAGATCCAGTCGGCTGGCAGGATCCAGGATCAGGGAGTGCGCTACACTTTGACCGTCAGGGCCCAGGAGGTGAGAGGACCCCAGAACAGTCTGGTGTCCTGTAGAAGGCTTGGGGACTGAAGTCAGAGCTATCCTGCGACCTTGAGTAAATCCTGCGGTGTGCCCAAGCCTCAGTTTCCTCCTTCCTAAAGTGGGGTTGGTGCTGTTAGATGCTCAGGTGAAATAAAAGCTTGTGAAAATGCTTTGTAATTACATTTTGTGGGAGGGAACCGGATGAATGGTACTTGTTCTCCGTAGTACTCAAACCATTTGGGCAGCTGGCTTCACGGCCTACTGTTCCGCAGGAGTAGTCTGGACCCGGGACTGGAGACAGGAAGAAACTGCTGGGCTGCGGTCTGTACTGCTGACCTCTCTGGACTGAAAGTTTTTCTCTCTGCCCAGGACATGAACAGAGAAGTGGTGAAAACGGACTCTGCCACCACAAGGATCCCGGAGCTGGATTTTGAAATTCCTGCCTTCAGTCAGAAGGGAGGTAGGTATAAGGTCAGGCTGTTTGGGTTGTTCATGCCCCGCTGCAGTCCTGCTTTTTTGCAAAAACCCGGGTGCCAGGTCTGGTGGCTGGTGTTTGGCCATGTTATCACTGAGACCTTCCTTGGTTCAACATAAACGGAAGCTTAGATAAAACAGCTTGAGAAAGTAGATTGTGTTAGTAAGGCTGTCATGTGTTCATTAGAGAGTCTTAGCATCACTGTTATTAGAGATGAATGGAACCTTGTTCTAGGCCTCCTCACTTTATAGTTGAAATCAAAGCCCAGGGAGTTCCAAGTGAATTGCTCAGTCATACGGGCACTTGGTGGCATAGTCAAGACTCACGTGTCTTTTGTTCTTATTCACTAGCTCTGACCACTGTCGAAGGACTGATCAGCCGTGCAATCTCTGGCCTGGAGCAGGATCAGCCTGCCCGAAGGGTGAGCTGGGGTTTTCTGATGGCAGCAGCTCAAGGCATAATGACCAGTCTATGTTTGAATAGAGTGTTCAGCTTCCTGTGTAGCTGAACCGTCTCGGACAATGTTGGAGAACGTTTGGAGGACACAGCAGGGATGCTGTCGCTGCCGGGATGTTGCCCATGTTTTCTCTCCCATCCTTTCCACTTCTCTTTCCCCGGTGTATGTTCAGACCTTCTCTTAGACAGGCAGTGTGACATTACCTCTGAAGAGCCTTTCCTAATCCCCTGGGATTTATCTGTACTTCCTGAGTCTTCCATTGTACCATATATTTACTATGACAGGAGTAACATAATCGCATATGTAGTCATCTGTCTTCCTAACTGGCTGGGGAGTCCCATGAGAGGACTCTGGTGTGTTTACTGTTGTATCTCTAATCCGGCACTAGAGCCTGGCCCAAATGGTTGGATGGTGAGAAAAATGAAGCTCATTTGGCACAACCCATAAACTTCAGACTTCCTTGCTGTATCTTACTGTGAAGTCTGAGTCTCTCTGTTCCTACTTACACTGAGGCAGGTGGTGACTTCCTGATGGAAGTGACATGGATGTGGCAGGGAGTAGGGGCATAAAGTCTGTCATGAGGGCTAGGGAGCCCCATGACTTCTCTTTACTATCTTTCCCTATCAGGCAAATGAAGAAGCTGTAGCTAAAAGAATTGATGAGTTCATTGTCAAACTGAAAGAGCTAAAGCAAGTGGCCTCTCCTTTCACTCTGGTGAGTATGGAAGAACTCTAGGTGCTAGATTTAGGGGAGGAGAGACCCTTAAGACTGTCTGGGTTTTTTCCACTGGTGCCCAAGAGGTCTGGTGGTAGGCAGAGAATCATACGTGATTTCTTGTTGTAATTACTCTTTCTGCCCCCATCTGTCAGATCATTGATGATCCCTCAGGGAACAGCTTTGTGGAAAACCCCCATGCTCCCCAGAAAGATCATGCCCTCGTGGTCACACACTATAGTCGGACTCCACAGCAGGAAGAAATGCTGGGGCTCCAGGTAAGTAGCCTGAAGAAGCCAGAAGAATGCTCTGGCATTATCTTGCTTTCTGGATCGCTTGGAATCAGTGGAATCTTACTTTGTCTTTGCTGCCCTGTGTATCCTATCTCTGGACGTTTATGCATCTTTTCTGGCTCCTGTCAAGACTTAGGATAAACTTTACAGTAAAAGTTGGCAGTGGCTGTGATCTTAAGTTCTGTTCTTCCCTGGATTGGGGCTTTGCTTCCTGCTCTCTCTGTTAAACCCACGAGGTTGCAGCTGACATAAGCAAACCAGAGTCTTCTGTCTCACTCCAAGGCAGGCTGGTGGGGAGGCCGAGGTATTTGTGCCAATGTGTGATTTGTATTTCTGCTGTGCTAGGCTGAGGCGCCACCAGAAGAGAAGCCAGAAGAGGAGGATCTCAGAAACGAAGTGAGTCCGTTGGCTGCTGTGGAGGAAGGAGCAGGGCTGTGGGTGGACCCTGATGCCACTCGGTCTCCCTTCCTCACGACCAACATGGCAGCCACCAGCATGCCAACTGAAGTCTGGAGCCTGAGCAGGGCTCACGCTACGGCCCCATGTTGTGTTCCAGGTGCTGCAGTTCAACACAAACTGTCCAGAATGCAATGCTCCGGCTCGGACCAACATGAAGCTAGTTCGTATCTTTTGTCAAGCATCTGGGTTGCTCTTCATCTGACTTGGGCACGAAGATTATATGCAGGCTGGGGAGTACTTTCTTCAGGGAAGGCGCAGCGATGAGGAAGGTGTTGCCTTTGATGAAACAGTGTACCTTGGCTTTTGGGTTCAAAGAGAGAATTAGGCTCTGGTTTCTAGAATCCTGTGTTGCCATGGATTGCAACCTTGCCCTCTTCTGGAGGATTGAGTTAGGCTGCTGCTTATGATTTCTTTCCTATATCCCTAGGACTGGCAACTATGTTTTTAGGGTTTGGGTTTGATCTTCTCTAGAAGGTGGTCTTGCTCTCCTGGAAGCAGATTCCTTACCTCCATCTTCCAGAAATCCCCCACTTTAAGGAGGTTATCATCATGGCTACCAACTGTGAGAACTGCGGCCATCGGACCAACGAGGTGGGTAGGCTCCATTGTTTGGGAAGATGATTAAGGTGAGGGTAAACCCTGTTTAACTTTGATCCTTCCTAAAGCTGCTTTGGGATGAGGTGGAAGGAAGCTGGGTTTTTCTCTTGGATGTAGTGTAGGGTGAGGAGCCCTTAAAGGAACTGGGAATTAGTGAAATAAAATTAGAGATACCATAACTCATTTAAGACATTAAAGATTGAGAATATGGAAGAGGTAGGTTCCCCCCCCCCTTTTTGGAGAGACTCTGACTCACCTCTCAGAGGACTGGAAGTAGGGGGAATGCAGATTCCGACTCTAGTAAAAAACTTTCTGGATCTCTCTGAAAATAGAATGGAGGGTTGTAAATTACCTTTCCCCGAGTGTATCCAAGCATAAGCTCTTTAAATTCTGAACCCAAAATATTACAAGGTGCATCCACATTTTGGGAGTATTTGAAAGTCCCTTTCAGCCTCAAGAGTCAGTTTTTTAAAAGAGGCAGATGCAGAGTTTGTTGGCAATTTGACAGGCTCTTGGCCAGCTCTTGGTGTTTCTGGTTTGGGTGACTGCTGCCACTGTTGGTTTAGAAGGCTCTGTCCTTGGTAGCTGGTAGGGGGCATGATTGGAGGTGTAAGCCAGTCCTCTGAGGGCTCCCTGACATGGGTGAGGATTAGAATCCTCTCTGCTGCTGTTCCTGACTACTGTTGTCTGTGCAGGTGAAATCTGGAGGAGCGGTAGAGCCCTTGGGCACCAAGATCACCTTCCATATCACAGATCCCTTAGATCTGACCAGAGATGTGCTCAAGGTAACACCCTACTTGGGAAAGTGTCTGTCTTTCTCACAGGGGCTGTCTCTATCTAGAGGAAGTTGTCTTTGTAAAAGTCTATGCTGGGGTTGTGGGGTACCTCCTTCCTTCTCTGGGTTTCAGGATCCCTCAGCAGAATTAATCCGTGGTAGGAAGGACACATTTTGAAGGTCACCCATAAATACTCTGATGATTTGGCATCTTTTTGCTTCCAGTGGCTGTAAGGGCCCTTGTCTCGGGCCTCTAATGACAGGATACCTGCCAGCTTGGAGCCATGACTCAGAATGTCCCTTTATTAGGTCGGTTCCATTTCTGCGGTAAATGTGGATAGGAATGAGTCTAGCTTTAGTTGGAGAGTCTGAGAAGACTGGGGCAGCTTTCCCCCCAAACAGTCAGTGGTGATATTAAGTTGGCATGAAAACTCTGCGTAGCCTTCTCGAAGAGGCTCCTGATCTAAAGCCCAATTTGCTCTCTCATCTCCCAGTCTGAGACGTGTAGTGTGGAAATCCCGGAGCTGGAGTTTGAACTGGGAATGGCCGTCCTGGGGGGCAAGTTCACCACATTGGAGGGGATACTGAGAGACATCCAGGAGCTGGTGAGTCGCCGAGTATAGCGCACGGTTGCTCCAGCAACGTGGCTGTGGGGAAGGGGCTAGAAGGCCTCACACGTCCTAGTTTTTGCAGTTGTTAACTAGGGGTTTCTTTGCCTTAAAGCTGATTTGAGAGACTTAAATAGTATTTTGGATTGTGAAGATAAATCTATGGAAAATTCTGAATGGAAACTCCCAGTCCTCCCTCTGGGACAATGTAGATACTTTGTGGTTTTGGGTAAGTCACTTATTTCACTGTAAAATGAGGGGAGGAGGGTCCTTCCAGCACCTGAGGCTCCCCAGTGCATATATTTGTGTGTTGACTTAGCCCATATATTTATTTTCTTGAATCATTTCACTTTATTGATTCCCAGTTGTCAGGCATTTTGTCATTGTAAATTACACTTTACTTTGCATTTCTTCAAATGAGAACTAGAGGTCCCCGGGAAGGACATTTTTATAGCTTTTATTTATATTTTCAGTTGTCATATTGGCAGATTAATGTCTGTGCTCTTCGCAGTGCCTGCCTAGGTCAGGAAGCTGGTGTGGAGACTGAGCTTCCCTGGCTGGGCACCCTCCTGCTGTTCCACACCAGCTTTATGGTCAAACCCAAGAAACAGCCAGTGTCCTAGCAGTTCCGATGCTGTTTATTGCAGGTGACCAAGAACCCTTTCACACTGGGTGACAGTTCCAATCCTGGCCAGATGGAGAAACTGCAGGAGTTTAGCCGGAAGTTAGACCAGGTGAGATGACTCTGGCCCTTCAGTACTTGTGGTCCTGGGGTGCCAGTGAGCAAGAGGCCGCCTACCCCTACCCTGTCCTGTCTCCTTCTGAACGTCTAACCAGTGTGTTGGGTGTTCCCCATGTCCTCTTTCTCGGTTTTCTCCCTTATGTTGTTAGAGCCTTATCTCTAGTAGCTTCACTTGGGTTTTTCATTTCCACTGACTTGTTTTCCCAGAGCTTTTTTTTTTTTAGTCTTTGAATACTCTCCCTCATTCCTTTGCCTCAGCATCCTGTTGTTTTAAGGATGTGGTATTTTTTTCTTTCCTTTTGAGAATGTTAATGTTGGTTTTTCTTTTTTTGATGTTTTATTTTCCTTGCATAGTTTCCATTTCCCTTTTAAGTTGCCTTTTTTTTTTTTGCTTGTTTGTTTTTATTTTTCCATTTAACTTTCTTTCAGACACAGAGAAGTTGGGGGGCTTTGCTCACGTGTCTGATAGTCATGGATTGTCGTTTTAAAAGTAGAGGACTGAAACACAGGAGTGGAGCTGAATCCTATTCACGTTGAGCTCCCTGTAGGGCGATTTAGCCGCGCCATTTTGTGGAGGTAACCTCAGTGCCAGAGACGTTAGGTTTTTCTTCTTGGGCTGCCCAGATTCCCATCAGCGGGTGTTCTGTTTCCTGGCCTGAGAAGAAGGACTTGGCTGTCAGTGTTCTGAGAGCTGAGTGTGGGCAGAGAGCCGGCTGTGTCTATCTGTTCACAATGACAACACGTTCACTGAACCGCCTGTCCGTGCTGCCTTTCCCTCCACCTTCAGCGGGGCTGGTGTCCCCTAGGCCTTAGCCAGCGGTGGTGGCAGCTTCTCCACGGACTCCTGCAGATTTCTGCCGAGGTCGGGGAAGGGCAGTGGTTGGCCTGTGTGGAATGGGAGAGGAGGTGGGGATGTCAGAGTGCTGCTTCAGTAGGCTTCCTACAGTCCTTATTTTAGGTCTTCTCTACTTCACTTCATCAGGAGTTACCTCATGTCAGCAGTTTCTGAAACTTGGGCTTTCTGCCATGTAGACTGGGTTGGTTCTTGTCTGGCAGACACAGCCCCTTCCTACCAGGAGCTATGTAAAATTGATGTGCTGTATTCTCCCTCCTTTAGATCCTTCAGGGTGACATGAAGGCCCACTTTATTATGAATGATCCAGCAGGAAACAGCTACTTTCAGGTACAGAATACCCTCCCTGATAGGGCATGGAGATACATTTTCCGACTTTCTTGGAATATGTATTATTTCTCCAGAAACTGGAGACTTGATTCTGAATGAACTGCTCTTTATCAAGAAACCTTAGAATTTGAAGAATAAGGAAGTAGAGGGGGAGGTGGGAGGGATTGTAATTGTGTGTCGAGAGGGGGAAAAGATACTCCTAGACTCTTCCTCCCTCTAGTCCATCTCTTGTCCCCAGCAGTGGAGTTGTCATTTAGAAAACCTAATTGTGGAGTGGGGGGAAACGGTGCCTTGCCCAGAAGCTGGAACAGGAAACTGGAGAGGCTCTCAGATGACTGGGGGATACTCTGGTGATTTATAATAACTTTGAACATTTATTGAGCAGTAATTATTGGTGAGGCAGAACTGTTTGAGGTTTCTCTACGATTAAGACTATCATAAGAAGGTGCAGATAGAAAGATTTTAGGCAGACTGTTCCCTAATTCTGCCTAGGGCTGGACGGTCCCTTTCCGGGGACTCTGTTGGGCTCTCTTGCTGCGGCTAGTTGAGCCTAACTATGGGGAATTGGAGGCCTTTAGAATAAAAAAACATTAAGGTTTTCGGAAAGTGGGTGTTGGAAGCCACCTGGTAGCAGTAGTGGGGGAGCAGGTAGCTAGGTGGCACAGGCACTGACTGACTGTCCTTGGCCTTGCAGAATGTGTATGCACCTGAAGATGATCCTCAAATGAAGGTGGAGCATTATGAGCGCACATTTGCCCAAAACGAGGAGCTAGGGCTCAATGACATGAAGACAGAGGGCTATGAGACAGGCCTGGCCCCACAGCGGTAGCGACGGGTAGTTCCCGAGCCAGCCTCCCGTGCTGCTCAGACCGAAGGGTTATTTATTGCTATAGGGAAAGGCTGGGGGGTGTCCATAGCCCGCATGTGGGGAGGACACCTGGTCTGAGAGATATGGGCAGTTTTGTGAACAGTTTGTGATGGAAGTGCAAGCCTGTTGCTTTACTTGACTGTATCTTGGAGGTTCTGAATTGGCCTGGGAAGAAACCCAGAAATGAACCATGGGGCACGTCATTATCCCTTTTTTTCCTACCAGCTCTTTACCCTCCCTCCACATAATGCTCTGTCTAGGGTTGGAACTCTGAAGATGGAAGACGGCTACATCTGGAGTTTGGGAGTTGGCTGGGGAATATAAAATACTGGCTTTACACAGGAAAAGAGTCTTCTGAGGGGAGGGAGTCCAGCACGGGGTAAAAGCTCTCATTAAAGTGATGGCTTTCCAACAGGACTGGGCTCTGCATTCACTTGTCCTTATTTGATACCATGCTGGTAGAATTCAGCCTCCTGAATAAATTTTCCCCGGTGTAGTCCGTTTGGGGATTGGGGCTGGCATTTCATTCATTCCTTCAGTAGATACTTGTGTGCTCACTTTGTGCCAGGTACACTACAGAACTGAACAGAATAAAGCCCTGTGTTCATGGAATTTAAAGTGAACTTTTCACGACAAATCCATAGTTCCTGCATTTGCTTTATTAGATGCAGCTGACAAACAGAGGGCAAAGCTCAGATAGTGCCCCTGGGCATAAATTAATTTGATCTTGTTCAGCTGCTCTCTGAGGCAGGCAGGGTTGGGATTGGAGTTTGGGTCTTGTCAGGCCAAGGCTGGGTGTTGATTCGAAAGGGGAGTGGTGGAACTCCAGACAGATGGGCAGGACATAGGCTGATGGGGCTGAGAGAGTTCTAGTAACGTTCACTGGAGCAGATAGATGAGGTTTTCACATGCCTGCTGATAGCAGGGTAGTAGAGGCAGGGCTTTGGAGTTGTTGGAGAGTCACCAAAGTGGCCTAGAAGCCATCACAGGGTTGTGTCTGGGGGACCTGTGGGGCCCTCCAGCTAGTGAAGCCCTGTTACCAGTTCATTGAGCCACAAGCTCTCAGAGACCACCCAGTCTGCTTTCCTTCTTGGGCCTGAGATGGACCAGTCAGGATAACCCGGGGGTTAAAAGTTCATGGGTCAGGGCTGTGATGTCCATACCTGTTTTTATATATATATATATATATAGTTTTTGAGCACAGAGCCTAAATTCTGAACATTTATAAAGTATAACAGCCTTCTTGACAAAAATGCTTTCAAACAGTGGCAAAAATTTAACACGTTGAGATAAAGGACATATTCGATCTGATATTTTATTTGACAAACTTTGGATTTACCTCTTGCACCTCACTTTGCTGGCCTTTGCTTCCAGGGATCATGTTTTGGCTTTGTGATGTTGGGCAGCTTCCTTAACCTCTTCAAGCTTTGGTTTTCTCACCTGTAAAACATGATAATAAAACCGCTTGAGAACTTTAAGAGTTAAATGAGGTAATTCATGTACAACTGCATGCTCACAAAAAGAAAAGTAGTGTCTCTGCCCTCCGCCTCCCACCCCCTCTCTAAAACTTGCGAATTTAGAATTCAACCTCTCTACCTTCCTGGTTTTTTGAAAACAGAGCCAGGTCCTTTTCACTGGAAAGGTCCTAGGCAGGAGGTAGCTAGGGGCTACCAATTCTATCAAACGTGGGGAAGTTCACAGGTTAGAAACCGTATTTTTTCATAGTAATTACATTGGGTTTGGCATTCCTGATTTCCTCTCTTGAATGGTACTTAGCCTATTAGAGCAGTTTCTACCCCCTAACCAAAATACATACTAATACAAATAACTGGTATATATACGTGTGTCAGACACTGTTTTGAACACTTCACGCGGTACAAGTAATCTCATTCCTCGCAGCCACTGAGTTAGGTCACCATAATACTACCCAGTTTGTTAAATAACTTGTGCAAGGTCCTGCAGGTAGGAAGTTTTGGAGCCTGGACTCAAGCTTAGCTACATTGCCACTCCACAGCCCACGATCTTGACACTGTGGTCCTTCTGGAGCTGCATCATGTTGAAGGGGCAAATAGATGAACAAACAGAAAACGTGGTCGGGTCGGCCGACCGAGGCGGAGTGGGCGCGGGACATAACGCGCATTTCTCGCGAGTCCGCCAGGGCGCTCACCTGTCACCCCGGTCAGTTCCCATCACTCTTCACCACTTCCGGTCGCGGCCCCGCCCCCCTCGCGTCCCTCCGTGCGTTTCGCGTTCAAGAATTTTGTCCCCAGCGCCGAGCCGTCTCCCCGCCCTCGCCGCTGCCATGGCGGCAGCTCCGCCGCTCTCCAAGGCCGAGTATCTGAAACGTTACTTGTCTGGGGCAGGTGCCGGCGTCGATGGGGGCCCTGATTCCGGTCGCAAGCGTCGCAGAAAGCGGCCGAAGCCTGGCGGGGCTGGCGGCAAGGGGTGAGTTGGTTCTGGCGGGGCCGGGCCTGTGGCGGCTGGCCGCCCCTGTTTCCCCACAGCTCGAACCTCGGCCGGCGCTTCCTCTCTGCGCGCCGCCCGCCAGGCTCCTCAGGGGCACCTCCGGAGCCCGGCTCCGGCGCCGCGCGCCCCTGGGCGGTATCTTCCCTTTCTCAAGACGGCTCCAACTTTCATTACTCTTTCCCCGCCTTTGGAGCGTTCCGTCCTCTCCCGTTGAAAATGAATGTCGTGCCCTGACAATGATGGTGGAGCTCACCCAGAGCCTCCCTGCCTGGATATTTAGGGCCCAGGACCTGTCCGTGGGGTTCGGCAATCCCAGGGACTGTGGTCCTGAGTCAGAGAACTATGCTTACTTCCTGTTACTCTTCCTAGTGATGCTGTTAACAACCACCACCAGCATTTGTAGTTCTTGTTAGGTACCAGATGCTGTTCTAAGTATTTTAGACGTTTTAAGCTTCGGAATACTACCACGAAGTTGGTGTTGTTATTATCCCCATTTTTCAAATGAGAACTTTGTAGCTCAGTGTACTGGGTTGAAGGGTGCCCCCGCCCCCATTCATGTCCACCCAGAACGTCAGAACGTGACTTTCTTTGGAAATAGTGCCTTTGCAGATATAAACCCGGTCACGGTGGGTTAGGATGGGCGCTTAATCCAGTGTGACTGGTGTCCTTTTAAGAAGAGGGAGATTTGAACACAGGCATGGGGGAGAACCGCTATGTGAAGATGGAGTCCGAGACTGGACTGGATTTCCCTTGCCACTAGCCAGACTATGCCTGGGACTGCCAGAAGTTGGACGAGTCAAGGAAGTATCCTCCCCTAGAGCCTTGCCAGCGGGCATTGCCTTGCACACACCTTGATTTCAGACTTCAAGCCTCTAAAACTGTGAGAGAATACATTTCTGTTGCTTTAAGCCCCCCAGGTTGTGATACTTTGTTAGGCAGCTCTAGGGAACTAATACCCCCAGTTCCAAAGAACGAAGCCAGTCCCTTTCCTGGTTTGGTTCTTGCCTATTCTTGCTTTCTGTCTTCCTGCCCTTCTGACTTGTGTAAATTCTTTGGAGACAGTGCCATGTAGTGAAAAGAGCTTGAGCTTTGGAGTAATGCTGGTCAGAGTTTGAGTCCTAGCTGTGCCACTTTGTGGGCTGTGTGGCTTGGGCGGGATAGTTCATCTCTTTAAGACTGTTGACACATCTTTAAAATGAGAGTAATAGTCATAGCACTTTATGACTATGATTCGAGGTGTATAAAGTGATCATGGCTTTTCAAATTGAATGTTCACGTCATGGCAGTCATTGTTAATTATTTGGACTCGTCTGTAGTTTGTCTAACAAACATTTATTGAATACGTACTTCTATGCCAGTTATTTCAGGGTGTTGAGGATATCACTGTGAATGAGAAGGCACAGTCCCTATTCGGGTGCTTCTCTCCTTACCTCCCTCAACCCGTTACTCATCCATGGGATACTTTCAATGAAAGTATCAATGAAATTTCATTTCATTTCATTATTCACAAAGAAAATAAATCATATAGTTGTGGGCAGACAGGCTTTAAAGATCTAATTATACAACTATATGAGAAGCTCAAGGAAATTAAATGTAAGTTAGGACTCTTTAAGAATCTTAAGAGTTTCCCATTAAAGAAAGGAGAGTAGGTCAGGCAGAGGGAAGGAACTGAATATGTGAAAACTGATGTGGGAAGAAATTTGGCTCATTCCAGACACCAAAAGATGACCAGCAAGGTAGTAAACTATGGAGACAGTGGTACAAAGTGAAGTTGGCCATATAGGCAAAGACTGGACCTTGTAGAATCTTGTAGGATTTTGAACTTTATCCTAAAGTCCATAGATAAGTGTTTGTAGGCTGTTTCCAAGAATGATTCTTCCTTTTTGATCTTTTTATTTTTCACATTTAGAATGAGGATTGTGGATGATGATGTGAGCTGGACATCTATTTCCACCACTAAAGCGGAAAAGGAGGAGGATGATGATGATGGAGATTTGCCTGTGGTATGTATCTTTCGAGGCTGTGAGGACTTCTCAACCTTGATTCCAGTACAGGGTAGATTTATATATATATGTATATATGCTGAGGGCAGAAAAGAGATTGACACTTTTCAAAGAGCTGTTTTAAAGTAGTCTTCTTTGATGATGCCTGTAGACTGTTTTCTTTGTTTATGCAGGGCCTCATTAGCCTAGAAATGGGAACTAATCACAGAGAGTCAGGACTTCTAATTGTAATGTTTAATAGTTAGCCATGGTTCGGTTTATTGAAATGTACCTTAAAAACAATGTTCAGGTTCAATTAAAGGAAATTTTTTATTTGTTCCTTTTGTTCATTGATTCAGCTGGTTTAAAATTGTATACTTTTGTTTAAGTACTGAAGATAGGTAGGTTAATAAAACCAAGTGTCTGGACTTTAGAGACCATACCCTAGATGGGAGACTGAACTTCAGATTTCAACAGTGTGATAAATAGTGGAGAGACATTTCACATATGCACCGAGTACTGTTAGAGCACTGGGGGAGTAACACATTTTTTAATTCCACTAGGAAATTTTTTTAAAGATTTTATTTATTTGAGAGAGAAAACACATACACACACAGACACACACACACACGCACACACAAGTTGGAAGGAGTGCAAAGGGAGAGGGAGAACAGACTCCCAGGTGAGCCGGGAGCCCTATGACCTGGGGCTCCATCCCAGGACCATGGCATCATGACTGGAGCCCACTGAGCCACCCAGGTGCCCCTCACTGGGAAATTCTAGGAAGGATGTAAATACCTTGAGTTTTGAAGGACCAGTAAGAACTAAGTGGGCAAAAGCATAGGGAAATAATCTTGGATTGGTTCCATCATGGAAACCTTGCTGAGAAACACGGTGAAAAGGAGAGCTGTTGATAGGCTGTATTGCACTAAAAGGTTGTAAAAATGAATTCCAGATGAGTATATTCAGTGTTAATTCCCAGCATATTCTGTAATACATCTTCTAAGAGAAGGTTCATATCAAATAGTGGGGCACCTGGCTGGCTAAGTCGGTGGAACGTGCTGCTCTTGACCTTGGAGTTGTGAATTTGAGTCCCACGTTGGGTTTAAAGATTACTTTAAAAAAAGGGAAGGTGGGAGAGGGGGGTGGTGCTTGGGTGGCTGAATCAGTTAAGTGTCTGCTTTTGGCTCAGGTCATGACTCCAAGGTCCTGGGATCGGAGCCCCACCTAGGACTCCCTGTCACGTAGGGCTTCCTGCTGAGCAGGGGAGTCCACATATCTCTCTTCCTCTCCCTCTGCCCCTGCTCATGTGCTGTCTGTTTTGCTCACTGTCTCTCAAATAAATAAATAAAATCCTTTAAAAAAAAAAAGGAAGAAGGGAAATAATGATCTAAGGGGCCAATTAATTTGAGTCAGATCCAGTCACTTAATTAATGTTTACAACATTTGTTTTTTTAATGTTATAAAAGCAATACATATTTATTTTAGAATATTTGGGAATTTTAAGGTTTAAAATTTTGAAAAAAATACAATAATCACTTACCTGTGACTGTCCAGAGGTAGTAACTGCTAACATTTAGATGCGTATGTCTTTAATTCATAGATTATACAGGCTTGTATTTTATTTATTTTTAAAATACGATTGGGATCATACTGAACATATGGTTTTGGAACTTACTCTTTCACTTAGTAGTATGTAGTGATTTCGTTAGTAAGATTTTAAAATATTCTTTGAGGATGTGACTTTTAATGGTTGCAATGGTAGTTCATTATATGTATTAACTTAATCTGTCCTTTTACTGTATGTATGGATGGTTTTCGGTTTTAAAATATAGTGCTTTGAAAAACATCTTATACAGAAAACATTGTGGAAATCTGTTTATCTCTTTATTCCTATCAAATGGAATTAATAGGTTAGAAACTCTGGTCCTTTTGAGCTGTATTCCCATATTACTTTCCAAAAGGTAGTACCAATTTATAGTCTCCCTAGAGTTGTTTGAGAATGCCATTTTCCCCATTTCTTCATGAATACTAGAGAATTATTTACAACAACAAAAACAATAGGTTTGAACCTGTGTCGGTTTGGCAGGTGAATAGTGGTACCCAGTTTCTTTGAGAAACAGTGAATAATTTTTTCATATGTTTATTGATCATTTGTATTTTATGAATTTTGGGGGATTTTTTCCATTGTTTAGAAAATTGGACTTTTTAATTTCTTCATTGATTTATTTGATATTTACATAAGTAAGAACATATTGTTTTACTGTCATAAATATATTTTATTATTTGTCTTTTCACTTATAAGGTTTTGACATTTAAAAATTGTAATTTTTATATAATCAAGTATATTAATTTTCCTTTATAATACTGTCTTTTGCTCTTATGATTGCCTCAAAACCTGAACAAGGGAGGCTTTTAGCCTCACTGCTCTCTACACTGGTTAAAACAGATCTTGATTATTGAATTCATTTTTGTCACTGCAAGACCATCATCACCACCAGTACTAACGGCAAAACAATTAGGGCAGGCACAATACTGGTGGCAGCACAGGAGTAACGGGTATAGTTTACTGAGCATTTACCATGTACCAAGCTCTTTAGCTTACATGAATTATCTCATTGAATCCTCATAGAACCTTGAGTCCTACTTTCACAAATGAGGAAATTGAGCTTTAGAGGAAATAATTTGCCAAAGGCTACACAAATATTAAGTGGCGGAGCTGGTGATTTAGATCTCAGTTTATCTTGCTTGAATTCAAGCTTGTGCTTTCCTACCTCAAAACTCACTTACCTGAGGAATGATGGGAACAGAAAAATAGAGGTGAATTATGACTTGGGTTTGGGTTTCAGTTCTGCCACTTGCTAGCTGTGGCATTGAGAAATCTACGTAACATCTCTGAGTCAAAGTTCTTTATCAGTGTGGAACCTTTCTTTGAGGGCTGTTTTGAGGATTGAGTGTGATAATAAAAAGGAGGGTCTAGGTGAGTGATCATTTATCAATGATACAAGAAGATTCCATATTTGTTTGGGAATTTGAATGATATGAAGTGTGTTTTTATCCCTTACAGATTCTGTGATTCTGTGTACTTCTTAGTGACTTCTTTTGGTTGGAGCTAAGAAAACCTATGATTGTGATTACCTTTAACAGGCTTCATAAGGAGCCCGAAGCCCTTGATGAGTGATAGGCATGACAGGGAACTTGCCTGTGTTTTTACTCTGAATGTAAAAGCAAAAAGGTAAAAGGAATTTAGCTTTTAGCTTATCCATAGCAGTTGTGTACCTGGCGGGTTGATAAAGAAGGTTTGTAATGAAGAAATTCACCTTTGGAGGAAAATTGATCAGGCAGAGAAAGATCTATAATTAAACTATCCAGGGACAATCAGATAAATATCTCAAGGGGCAAACAGAATTGAGGACCACTACATGTGTCTGTGTGTTTTTTCATGGCTGCTTTGGACTTGCATCTGCCACGTACATTAGGAATGGGAATGGTCGTAGCTTCGGGTTCTTGAAACAACAGTGCTCTTTGCCTGGATCCTGTGGATTTTCTCAACATAAGTGTCCTCACTCTGACAGGTGGCTGAGTTTGTGGATGAGCGGCCGGAAGAGGTAAAGCAGATGGAAGCCTTTCGTTCCAGTGCCAAATGGAAGCTTCTGGGAGGTTAGTTTCAACAATGGATAAATCTCAACTTCCCATATATAGGGGAAGCCTTTTTTTCTTCTCTGTACTTTTCTTTTAGAGAAACGCATAGTTTGTTTTAGTGTGTCCTTGATCCTGAAAAATATAGTGTGAAAAAGAATTCAGAACTTCTTCACAGGTAGCAAGACATGGGAACTAAGGGACCAAGTATCCCGTTTTCTCTTTTATTTTGGCCATTAGGGTTACTGAAGTCAGGAAGTGACTTATTTGGGGACCTTGCAGTAATCACTCCCCTCAGGCCCAAATAGTGGGGCACTTAGTACATAGGCAGGACTTTGGAGGAGTAAATCTTTCTTTGTTCTTCCTTTAGATATTAGTATTTTGCTGTGCGTTATCCTCCTCTTGCCCACTTTATACCCTCTCCCTAGGCTAATAATTTAATTCCCTATTTAAAAATTTTTTGAGTTTTTGAGGATTGGATAAAAGGCATTTGTCATGTTTGAGCAGAGACTAGCCCTATTCTGATTTGTCTCGGTTTTTCCCCTGCCTGGCATGAAACGGGGATCTTGCTTCTGAATAGCCATTTAACTTCAGTTGACTCTCGACACGTGTTCCTTTTTCATACATGAAGGGTAGAAGAATTAACTCCTAAACAGGACTTGTTCTTTCTCTGTTACACATTTTGCTTATGTTAATTATCCTACAGTTCTGATAAGGAAAAAAAATGCATAACCAAAGAGACAGTTGGCTATAGGTTAGTGATCACTATTGCTTAAGTTAACTTTCAGTACATTATAATGTTTTATGAATAAAAAGTTTATTATCAGTGTATATTCTTTCATCAGAATCTTGTTTACTCTTACTGTTTTCTGCCTTATCCTGTGGTTGTGTTTCTCGTCTTTTCTGTAGTCCTTTTTTCAGAGAGAATCTTCTGGTCTCTGTATTTATAGGTCTAGGAAGTGATACTGAACCCCCCCCCCCCCAATAATTCTTTCTCTTCACTTTCACTGCTCCATTCCCGTTTGTCATTGGAAATAGCCTCACTGGTCTCTGATCCTTACTTCCTTTTTATAAATATCACGTAATTTATCAATACCATGGATTAGATTTGGTGTTGGGTCTCCCTCAGATATCAGTACTCTTCTGTGAGTGGTGATTCCAGTCAGATAGGGCTGTTTCCCAAAGTAAAGGAGTTGACTTGGTTTAATTCATCCACTTAGCAGTTGTTCATTGGGCCCTACCCAGTGTTTGTTTGTATTGGGGCCATGGAGCTCAATGACAAGAAGTAGAGGGAGAGGAGAAACTGGATTTTGGCAGTGTCCTGAGTTGCCGTAAACATTTCATTCCCTTATAACTTTGAAAACTGGAAGTTTCAAACTCTTTTGTGAACTACCTATTTTAAAAGTTTGCGGGGCGCCTGGGTGGCTCAGTGGGTTAAGCCTCTGCCTTCGGCTCAGGTCATGATCCCAGGGTCCTGGGATCGAGCCCTGCATCGGGCTCTCTGCTCAGTGGAGAGCCTGCTTCCCCCTCTCTCTCTGCCTGCCTCTCTGCCTACTTGCGATCTCTCTCTCTCTCTCTGTCAAATAAATAAATAAAATCTTAAAACAAAAAAAGGAAAAGAGTTTGCACATGGACTCTGGAGTCTGATGGATCTGGACTGGATCCCCCACCACTCCACCACATCGTAACAGTGTGACTTTGGCAGTTTGACTTAATCTTTCTCAGGATTCACTTCTCATCTATAAAATGAAGGATAATAGTATTTGTCTTTCAGATTTGTTGTGAGAATTAAGTGAGGGAATCTATATAAACCGTTGGCTTGTAGTAGGTGATGAGGAAATGCTGATCCCTCTTTTTATCTGGTGATCTCCCCCCAGTAAGGAGCACAGGGATGTGGATTAAATAGTTAACAGTATTTCATTTTGATGGGGGCCCAGGCTTAGTCAGTTTGCCCTTTGAAAGAAGAATGAATATGAACTGTATGTTATCTAGTCTGAATATCAGTAGGAGCCTCTGGGAGTTCTGCACAGACATGGTTTTAAGAATAGCATTGGATCGGGGAGCTTGGGTGGCTCAGTGGGTTAAGCCTCTGCCTTCGGCTCAGGTCATGATCCCGGGGTCCTGGGATCGAGCCCCGCATCAGGCTCTCTGCTCAGCAGGGAGCCTGCTTCTCTTCCTCTCTCTCTGCCTTCCTCTCTGCCTACTTGTGATCTCTCTCAAATAAATAAATAAAAATCTTAGGAAAAAAAAAAAAAGAATAGCATTGGATCGACAGCTAGAGGATCAGGGTGTTAGCCTATCTCCTTATCTTAGTGGTTGTGACTTTCCTTAGAAATCACTCATCTTCTTGGAGCCTCTGTTTTCATGTCTGTGAAACAGGGATACCTGCCCTGATGGCATAATATAATACCATATATTGTACCAGCCCCAGGTATAATATGAAAAATGCATTTAAATGGCTTATTAGGCAAATACAAGAGGTTATCTTCATGGTATTCATGAGTGCTGGTTGACTGCCCCTACGCAAAAGAGCTGGGCAGACCTGGGATTTCCGAGTTGTTTTGACATGTGTGCTGCCAGGGCATCTTTTGAAACTTTGAGTACAAGGGGTGAATAGAGCACCTGTGGGATGTAACTCTTTGCCCTTTGTTTAGGCCACAGCGAAGATCTACCCTCACACAGACACTTCCGTCATGACACCCCGGATTCATCTCCCCCCAGGAGGGTCCGTCATGACACCCCGGATTCATCTCCCTCCAGGAGGGTCTATCACGACACCCTGGATTCATCGCCCCCCAGGAGAGTCCGTCACGACACCCCAGATTCGTCTCCCCCCAGGAGGGTCCGTCATGACACCCCAGATTCGTCTCCCCCCGGGAGGGTCCGTCACGACACCCCGGATTCATCCCCCCCGAGGAGAGTCCGTCACGACACCCCAGATTCCTCTCCCCCCAGGAGGGTCCGTCACGATACCCCAGATTCCTCTCCCCCCAGGAGGGTCCGTCATGACACCCCAGATTCATCTCCCCCCAGGAGGGTCCGTCACGACACCCCAGACCCATCTCCTCCCAGGAGGGCCCATCGTGCTTCTCTGGATCCTTCTCCCCTCAGGAAGCCTCATCGTCACTCTTCAGGTGTGTCTCCTAGGAAAGCCCGTCACGACACACCAGATCCATCTCTTCCTAGGAGGGCCCATCACAGTTCCTCAGATAGCTCTTTTCCCAGAAGGGGCCGAAATAGCTCCCCTGACACATCTCAACCGAGAAGGACTCTTGACTCCTTGGACACATGGCAGCTCAGGAGGGCCCACCATGACTCCCCTGATTTGGCTGCTAATGCAAGAACCAGAAGCAGTAAAGCCCCGGAAAGAGCCTCCAGCAAAACTTCTCCACATTGGAAGGGGCCGGGACCATCTCATGCATCACTCCCAAAGAAAAGCAAGTATGAGGATAACTCTAACGTCTCTCCTCCACGAAAAAAGCAAGCAAAATCTCATAAGCATGATTCTAAAGGTAAGCATTTGATTGCCCATAAGAGGGAATGAACCCCTGGGTGCTTTCTTTTGGACCTCTTACTTGTGGTCTTTAGAAACGAGAATGGTATTTTTTGGAGTTTTAAAAACTATAGGGAAGTGGGAAGAGGTTGGGCTGAGGAGATTTAAAATTTACAGTGTCAAGGAGGACGTTTTTATATATCTTTTTGTTTTTCTCCCTACCCCATAAGAAGATACTACATGTCTGATGTAGAAATTTCATAGTGTATAGAGATGTGTAAAGAAGTAGAAGGAAAGTTATACAAAATTCTGTCATTCAGAGCCATTCACTCTTTGTGTTGTGGCCAGTGGTCTATTTTCTATGCACTTTTTATGTAGTTAAGCCCTTTCTATGTAGTATATACATGTAGTATGTATAATTTTGCCTGTTTTTTTCACTTAACGTTGTCTTCCCTGTGTCATAAAAAACATCACTTTGTCGGTATGATCTTTATTGGTGTTCTGTTACATAAATGTGCTTAACTTTTTCCTTAATGCTGCATATTTTAGGTTATTTCTAAATTTTTGCTTTTATAATTTTAAAATGAACCTTGTACATAAATCACTTCCCCATTCTGGATTATTTCCTTATCTACTTTTAGTTGGATTTCCTGGAAATATAAGTACTTCTAGATAAGTTTCCTAGAAAACTAAGGAGAAATTGACTTACTGAGTAAGAGGGATAAATATTTTTAAGACTTTTTTTTTTTTTTTTTTAAAGACCATCGCAGATTGCCTGTTTTGGACTTGATTTATGATGTTTCTGTCTACAACTCAGGCCTGTGTAGTGAGATTCGTTTACTCAGTCTTTGTCCCTAGGTCTTGTTTTCTTTTCTTTCTTTCTTTTTTTTTTTTTTTTAATTTTTTTTTTAAACATATAATATATTTTTATCCCCAGGGGTACAGGTCTGTGAATCGCCAGGTTTACACACTTCACAGCACTCACCATAGCACATACCCTCCCCAATGTCCACAACCCCAGCCCCCCTCTCCCAACCCCCCTCCCCCCATCAACCCTCAATTTGTTTTGTGAGATTAAGAGTCACTTATGGTTTGTCTCCCTCCCAATCCCATCTTGTTTCATTTACTCTTCTCCTACCCCCTTAACCCCCCATGTTGCATCTCCTCTCCCTCTTTTTTTTTTTTTTTTTTTGAGTATTTTATTTGAGAGAGAGCATGCGCCTGCCCCAGCATGAGTGGGGGGAGGGGCAGAGGGAGAGGAAGAAAGAGACTTCTCCTGACTTTCCCCTTGCAGGGAGCCTTGCTGAGCCGAAGGCAGATGGTTAACCAACTGAGCCACCCAGGTATATTCTAGGTAGTTTTTTAACTTTTGCCACATCACTGAAATCTGAGTGCAAGTTGTTTTGCCCATTCTGTGTTCAGATAAATATGACATAGGTGAGTATATTGAAGTTTTACATGCTAGTCACAGTCACTAGTAGCTTGGGAATAGATCCCCACATCCTACTTGTTGGTTTTGAAAGTTGTCCCTCACTCTGCTCTTCTCCTGTGTCATTTGCACTTGTGTTTAGGTGAGTGATAGCTCTTTAGAGGAGGACTGAATGAATATTGAATATTAGCTTGGTAAGTTCTGTTTAAGATTCTGCCAAGGGGATTAAAGACTTCATTTTTTAATTTCTAGACTCTTCCCCCAGCCATAGGAAGTTTCACACAAGCTCTTCACCTAGGAGACATCCGAGTCACACGTTGGATTCTTCCTCCTATGCAAGTGACAGTCGGAAAGCCTCAGATTCAGATCTTTCTCCTCCTCGACATAAACAAAGTTCAGGGCACAGGGATTCTGACTCAGATCTGTCACCTCCACGAAATAGACCTACACGTCGGAGCTCTGATTCTGACCTGTCTCCACCAAGGAGGAAACAGAGGGTCCAATCTTCTGATTCTGATCTGTCTCCACCTCGAAGGAGTCAGCCTCTAGAAAAGAAGGTAGGAATTTTCAGGAGCCATATCCTTTCCTTAGAGTGACTTCTGTTTCCTAGCTATGTACATGTCTCAGATATACAAATCAGAGAGGGAGGAGGTAGCTCCTAATGGCATAGTAAATCTAGTGTAGAGTTACCTCTAGAGCTCTTTGCTTCTCTCTGAGGCCAGGACTGCCTATAACCTAGCCCAGATGAACTTGCAAACACCAGGTTTCCTAAGTGCCTTCTGCCTTTCTAGCCTCTTAATTCCACAAATCTCATTTTTTAATATGTCAGGAAAAACTTCCTGTGAACTGAGAACTGTAGTTTACCGGGTAGAGTTCAGAGTACAAACCTTGTGTTAATCGAGCCATACATTTGAGTCCTACTTCTTCAACTGCTGTTTGTGATATTGGACTAAGCTATGGAATATCTCTAACCCCCAGCTTCTTCATCTGTAAAACGTGGATAATAGTAGTATGTACTTCATAAGGTTACTGTGAGAGTCAAATGAGTCAGGGTAAATAAAACTTAGCACAGTGCCCAGGCAACGTGAGACATTAGCCTAAGCAATTTTTATTATAAATTGGACTGCGGGTCTGTGTATCCAGAGCTTAAAGAGAGGCATTTAAAATATAAAACAACTTTTAGAAATCATGCCAACTGGGAAGTCAGTGTTTTGTTTCATTTTAAATCTGTGATAAAGCATGAATTGCCCAGAGCATCCCCATGAACTCTGAGCAATTGTTTTGTAAAGCACACTGGTGCTCGGGACAGAATCTTACTCCAGTGAGCTGGATAAGAAACAGGAATAGAGCCTGCAGTGTGCACATTTCCCTCCAACCCAGACTTTCTAGGTAGGTCTCCTCTGTCACCCACATGGTCCTTGTTGGCTGTCCCAGACTCAGGAATTGGGGTTCTTCTCTTTTGGGGAAAAGAGGTTTGTGTGGCAACTGGACCCTTTGACATTTTATGTGTTGTTTACTTCATGGACAATTTCATAGTAATCAAATTGAGTACATAGCACATGATACACTCTCTACTCCATTTGTGGGTTGGTTGTTTATCTTGATATGAAATGGAGTTTAATAAAAAAGGTTTGATCTGGTCATAACTTGTCATGATCCTAAAATTTATCCACAATTGAAGGACCTTGGATTTGCTTGAGTTTGTAGTTGAAATGAAATATTTTATCAGTGTGGGTCTCTACTGGAGAGCTTAGAGCTTGATACGGGTTTCTGATCAGGTGACCTGAGAGTGTGGCTTCATGTGTGCAGTTTATATACTGAAAAGTCAGAAATATATGCTATGCCTTTTCTTTAATATTCTCTTGGTTTGTGTTTCTGTTTATTCTTAAAACTAGATAGTACAATTAATTTGCCATCAAATTCAATTTTATTTCTTGTTTATTTTGTGAATCTTGTGATCAGTAAAGAGAATACAAGGCTAGAGTTTTTTTTTGTTATTGCTAATCATCAGGCAAAAATGCACCTGGAGTGTGCTGCTACATTGTTTCATTAATGTTGGGTGCTCCCTTTTCCATTGCATAGGCTGCATACATGTATTCCGGGGCTAAAACTGGGTTGGTGTTGGCTGACGTGCACCGAGAGGAGCAGGAGCTCAAGAAACGGGAAACCTTGGCGTTTGAAGGTAAAAATGTGAAAGTGCAGAGACCAATCAAGGCGCATGTAGATTTTATTATTATTATTTTTAAAGATTTTATTTATTTTACAGAGAGAGACACAGTGAGAGAGGGAACACAAGCAGGGGGTAGTGGGAGAGGGAGAAGCAGGCCTCCCACTGAGTAGGGAACCCAATGCGGGGCTCAATCCCAGGACCCTGGGATTATGACCCGAGCCAAAGGCAGATGCTTAACAACTGAGCCACCCAGGTGCCCCTTATTATTTTTTTTAAATATAGTTTATTGGACCTGATATTTTAAACTTTTAATTTTACTAAATTTCAGCTCTGGTTTTTTGCATTATTCTAACTTCTTAGTGGGCCCAAGGGATTCTTTTCCTACTTGAAAAAGGTTAGATATTGGTAGGAACTATTTGTAGTCTGGCTGCAAAAGTTTTTATCCGGCATCAGAATCCCAAGTGGTTGATTTCAACTGTTAGAATTATTTCTGATTTTGATACCTGGTATTTATCTTTAAGAGCAGAATTTTCCTTTGCAGCTGAATCCCAGTATGCTGAAACTGTATTTCGAGATAAATCTGGCCGTAAGAGGAATTTGAAACTGGAACGTTTAGAGCAAAGGAGAAAAGCAGAGAAGGACTCGGAGAGGGACGAGCTGTATGCTCAGTGGGGAAAAGGGTAAGAGAGCGACTGAAAGGAGGAACAACACTGCGCTCAGACTGGAGAAGCTCATTCTCTACTTTTCTGATCAGCTAGTTCATTGCTGTGCCTTCAGAGCTCTTTCAGGAATGGAAAATTCAGTGTGTTCAATCTCCTTTCTAAGAAACTGATGGATTCCACGCTTTTAGTTGGTGTTCTAGGAATTTTACTCCTTAAAATATTTGGCCTATGCTGCTAGAAAAAGGAGATTCTCTCCAAATGTAGTCGTATGGTCTGTCTCAGTGTAAGAGGGGAAATGTTACACAGGGTAGCAGACACTCTTGATTCTTTTCGTCCAGGCTAGCCCAGAGCCGGCAGCAGCAACAAAACGTGGAGGACGCAGTGAAGGAAATGCAGAAGCCTCTGGCCCGCTATATTGATGATGAAGATCTGGACCGGATGCTGAGAGAACAGGAGAGAGAGGGGGACCCCATGGCTAGCTTTATCAAGAAGAGTAAAGCCAAGGAGAATAAGAATAAGAAAGGTGAGCCTTTCAGGACTCACCAGAGATGGAGGTGACTTGTGGAAGGAGAGAGGGTCTTTAGCTGGGCACATGTGTGGGCTTTCCCATATGGTTCTAGGTTCCTTGTGTTTGGGAATTTGGGCTCAGCTCATAGAGATTTCTGTATAACATTTTTTGTTACCTCTGCCACCCAGCTCTGAAGTGAGTTACATAGATAATTAACTTCTTTTCTCTTTCTCTTCTCTCACTAGTGAGACCTCGATACAGTGGTCCCGCACCACCTCCCAACAGATTCAATATCTGGCCTGGGTATCGCTGGGACGGAGTGGACAGGTAAGCCTGAATGTTTCCCACGTTTTTGTTTTCTCTTCCATCTGGCCCTAACCTCCCCCTAACTGTTCTTAAATTACTCTCCCCCACTCTCTGTTCTAAGCACAAAGTTAATGACATGCAGTCTGCTTGCTTTTGTTTCTAAGGTCCCCACATGCCATTTCTCATGCTTAGAATACACCTCCTCCTCCTTTTTTTTTTTTCCTTCTCAAGGCTTTTTAAAGCTCTGGACAAATAACTCTGGTGCTGCCGATAGGATACCCCCCCCCCTTTTTTTTTAAGATTTTATTTATTTATTTGAGAGAGAGACAGTGAGAGAGAGCATGAGAGGTGAGAAGGTCAGAGGGAGAAGCAGACTCCCCATGGAGCTGGGAGCCTGATGTGGGACTTGATCCCGGGACTCCGGGACTGTGACCTAAGCCGAAGACAGTTGCTTAACCAACTGAGCCACTCAAGCGCCGTACCCTTTGTTTTTGACATTGGTCACTTTGAGGGATATTTTCTAAGGTTTAGAGGGGATGAGTGATGGGTGAGAGTCTGGAGTCTTTTTTGTGTAATATCTTTAAAATGTAGTTCTTGAAAAAAAAAAAAATAGTTCTTGAACCTTCTCTTCAGTGCCTTAGGAGTGAGCTACTTACGGTGTCTCACTGACCCCTACGACCAGCATCTACCCATATACGCTAACTTTCAGTCTATTAGCATGATGACTTAAATGTGCTTCTGTCCAAAGTCTGTCCCTTGTTTACATGTTAGAGCCCATCTCCTCTTGCCTACTAAAGGACATTGTTCTAGCATTTAGCCTGGTGATTCTCAAACTTTTTGATCTCAAGACCCCTTTATACTCTTAAAAATTGCTGAGGACCCCCAAAAAACTTTTTATGTGGAATATGTCCTTTAATATTTACTATATTAGAAACTGAACTGAGATGTTTAAAAAGTGTTTATTCGTTCATTAAAAACTTAATAAAGATGGGGCACCTGGGTGGCTCATTGGGTTAAACCTCTGCCTTCGGTCCAGGTCATGATCTCGGGGTCCTGGGATCGAGCCCTGCATCAGGCTCTCTGCTTGGCAGGGAGCCTGCTTCTCTTTCTTTCTGCCTGCTTCTCTGCCTACTTGTGATCTCTCTCTCTCTGTCAAATAAATAAATAAAATCTTAAAAAAAACAAAACTTAAGCCATTATGCTAACATAATTGCCACATTTTTAAAGAAAAATAACATTCCCCAAACAAAGCAAATAGAAGAATGGCATTGATAAGCATTTTTGTAAATCTCATTCATGTTTGGCTTAATACTAGATAGCAGGATTCTGCATTGAATCTTTTGCACTATGTTAATTGAAGAAATTGAAAATTTAGCTTTAGAAAATTCAGCCTTATCCGTAGGTAGTTAGAAAAGGAAGGCATATTATGGTGGGGTTTTTTGTTTTGTTTTGTTTTGTTTGTTTGTTTGTTTTTTGGTATTATATGTTTTGATTAAAAACTCAGCAAGTGATAGTTTCTTAGATGTGATTTGTAATATGGTATCTGGAACCATATAAAAAAACTTGGTGTACTGTTATGTTAAAATCCACTTTTTTTTCCTATTTTGGATGAATCTTTTCCTGGTGCGTGATTTTATAACATGATGTACTGGTCATTTGGAAAATACGGGTTTGCTGAGTTTTTCAGACCTGCCAAATGTTGATGCTACACACCGTCAATCTTATATCTGTTAACATTACTTGTTCTCATCACCAAAATCTTTAATGGGAAGCTAGGGTTCATGGTGGCAGATGAGTGTTTTTTGAAATTCCTAATTTATGCTTAAAAGCTTGAATTTTTCATTATGACAAATATCATTGTATTTATTATGTTATTATAGTGAAGCTCACTTTGTACAGTAGCTTTTTTGTAGATTGCATCAGATTTTGTACGTAGAGGGTCAGGTCATCTATGAATGTAGACAGTTTTATTTCTTCCTTTCCAACCCAAATGTCCTTTGTTCTTTTTCTGACCTTATTGCACTAACTAGAACTTCGGTGCAGATGTTGAATAGAAGTAGTAAGAGACATCTCTGTCTTCCTAATCTTTAGAAGAACGTCAGTCTTTTGCCGTTAAATATGTTGTAAGCTAAGCTATAGGTTTTTTGTAGATTCCCTTTACTGAGTTGAGAAGGTTGCTTTCTGTTCGCAGTTTGCTGAGAGTTTTTTTTCCTAGAAATTTGTGTTGGATTTTGGTTCATTCTTTGATCCATGAGTTACATAGGATCCAATGAGTTACATTGTTTAATTAAGGAACTTAGGACCCATTGAGTTACATTGTTTAATTCTAAACATTTAGACATTTCTGGATATCTCACTGTTACTGACTTCCAGTTTAATTCTCTTGAGGTCAGAGGATATACTCCATAATATTTTGATCTTATTGAAATTTATTAAGCTGCATTTTATGGCCCACTATATAGTTTACCTAGGTGAATAATCTATTTGCATTTGAGGATAATATGTATTCTGTAGTTGTAGGGGGAGCTGTTTTGAAAATTATTTTTTGAAAACAAACTTTATTGGGTCACCTGGGTGGCTCAGTGGGTTAAAGCTTCTGCCTTCGGCTCAGGTCATGATCCCAGGGTCCTGGAATTGAGCCCCGCATCAGGCTCTCTGCTCAGCAGGGAGCCTACTTCTTCCTCTCTGCCTACTTGTGATCTCTGTCTGTCAAATAAATAAATAAAAAATCTTAAAAAAAAAAAAAACAATGTTTCTTAATGATTGTGGATTTATAGAAAATTTGCAGATAGTATGAAGAATTCCTGTGCACCCCTCATCCAGTTTTATTACTACTCATTACATTACCGTGGTACAATTTATCAGACCCAACATTCATATGTTATTAGTATACCAAATTTTACTTGGGTTTCACCAGTTTTCCCACTAAAGTCCTTTTTCTGTTCCAGTTCAGGATCCCACATTGCATGTAACTGTCATTCTCTTTAGTCTTCTGTGATCTGTGACAGTTTCAGTCTTTGCTCTTTGTGATCCTGTCAGTTTTTTGGAATATGATTAGTTATTTTGTAGAATGTCCCTCAAATTGGGTTCATTTGTTGTTTTTCTCGTGGTTTGACTGAGGTTATTTGTTTTTGGAAAGAATACTACAGTGGAATAGTGCCCTTCTCATCAAATCATTTTAACCAGTACGTCACAGGACATCCCTTGTGATGCTGACCTTAATCACTTGGTTAAGGTAGTCAACGTTTGCCAGTTTCTCCACTTTGAAGTTACTCATTGGTGCCTGGGTGGCTCAGTTGGTTAAGTGTCTGCTTTCGGCTCAGGTCATGTTCCCAGGGTCCTAGGATCGAGCCCCACATCAGGCTCCCTGCTTGGTGGGGAGCCTACTTCTGCCTCTGCCTGCTGCTCCCCCTGCTTGTGCTCTCTCTCGCTATCTCTGTTGCTCACATAAATAAATAAAATCTTTAAAAAAAAAATGAAGTTATTCATTTTCCCTTTCTGTACTCTGCTCTCTAGAAATGTCGCTAAGTGCAACTTGCATGCAAAAGGCAACCTATGGGTGGGATATCTACGTATAATATTTGGACTTTTTCTATAAGGATTTGTTTCATCACCCCATTTAGTCAGTTACTTTTTTTTGCCAGTAATGAGTCATACATATTTTATACTGTTGTAATCTAGTAATATATTATTTATTTTGTTGCTCAGATTGTTCTCTTCTTTAGCCACTGGGAGTTCTTTAAGGTGTCCCTTTTGTGTGCCCTATCCTTTTATTTTTTGAGCACTCCCTGACTTTCTGATACTGCAGGATGCTCCAGACTCATCTTGTGCTTTCCCTGTCCCAGCTTTTTCTCCAAGGGGCCATTTCTTCAAGGGGCCCTGACTACTTTTAATGGATAGTGGTATTTAGAAACTAAGATCTGCCTTGTAGAAGTACTTGTTGGTACTTGGGTGTCCTTGTTATTAGGCCCTGTCAGCAGACAGAGCTCGGTAGTATGTGTCTAGTAATCCATGTATATACACATACCTGTCATCATTTCTGTACCTGCTTATGTATGTGTCTGTATATATACATGTTTATATATACAGATACATGAGTATAAGTTCATACTCCTGTAACCTACTGTAATTCAGTATTACCTTTTCTACTTGCTTATCTATAACTTTCCCCTCCAACATTGTGAAACCTGGCACCCACCAGCTACCAACCATTTTACTTACCTCAGTATACATGTAAAACAGCTTCAGAATTGAGAAACGAAATGAGAAACAGATTTCCAGCTCAAGTACAGTATTTATGTGTCGTTACTTTTGTTCTTACCCTTAAATTTCTAGTGAGAGTACCATTTTCCAACATAACTTAAAGGGTCAACTCTCTGCCTCCCCACCCCATACTACTGTGTCATACATTTGTAATATAGGTAGATTCATTTGTCATAGTCTGCAGTCTGTCCTGGGTTTCCTGACATCCTGGGTCATTTTTCCTTTTTAGAGTTTGCTTATGTTAGTGTTATATTTTTTTATGGTGTATAGTTCTGTGGGGTTTGACAAATGCAGAGTCATTCATTCGCCACCCTAGTACTATACAGAAAGTCCCATCATCCTAAAATTTTCTCTGCAAGTCCTCTTTCAGTCAGTTACACCCCCTCCACCAAATCCTTGTGATTAGTGTTCTGTTTTCTCTTCCTGTAGTTTTGCCTTTTTCAGAGTGTCGCATGAATAGAAGCATACAATATGTAGCCTCTCGAGTCTGACTTCTTGCGCTTAGCAAAATGCACTTAAGATTCATCCATGTTCTTGCATGAATAGCCCGTTGTATGGATGCACCAGTTTGTTTATTCCCCATCTTTGTTGCTCTTTGTTGCATCTTTGTTGCTCCCAGTTTTTAGTGACTGTGAATAAAGCTGCAATAAACATTTGTGTATAGTTTTACATGGACATAGTTTTCAGTTTACTTGTGAAGTGCCCACTGATGGCTGGGTTGTATGGTGAGACTGTGTTGAACTTTGTAAGAAGTGACC